GATTTCATCTGAAGGAAAATAAACATTTTAAATGGTAAGAATTTCAACCTTGCAAGTTTATTTGTCACAACTAACAAACGAAGCTATTAATTCTCGTCGCGAATTAAATTTGAATAAAAAAAGGCTTGATTCTATATCTTTTCCCCAAAACTTGGCGTAGAATCAAAGTAAGATGCCAGTTTTGTTGGCTATTGGCTCGTAGGAAGCTCAATCTAGTAGTATAATTGTTGAATATTCTTAGCTACCTGACATATCTCCTTTTGTAGACTTTCGGTGGCCAGGAAAAAAGGCGTGCTGTTGTGATTATTAAACATATCGATATCAGCTCCGTTTTCCAGCAGGTATAACACAATATCCTGAAAATCAGGAGTCAAATTAATCGTTACTTGGGAGTTCATGAAAAGATTAATTTCCTAACTTGAAAACATGATAAATATTGAAAAAGACCCAAATTATTTTGGGATCTGCAAAACCAGTCCTCAGAGAGAAACACAACCGCATATCTAAACTTCACGGTCGCTATTATAAGTTTTACATTAATAAAGTTTTGATTTTTGATATTGAATAATATATTAAAAGCAACTAAGGCCACACCTACACTTGACAAATTACTTAGGTTTTGACACAGGCTAAACCTGAGAAAAATGAGAGACTACTTCTAGTTTTGCCTTTGACTGAAATAAATGCATAAAGTTTGAATGCATTTCTAAGAATCGCAAAAATAAATTGCCAGGAAGGAAAACTAGACTCGACCAGCAAAATATAATGTAAAGAAAGCCCACTCGCAAAATGAAACTCACGAAAAGTAGTGCCACACGGCCGACGCAAACATTTGTAGTTTTCCCAAACTAACAATCTGAGAAGCTTCGTAAGTTTGGACGCCGTTTCTTTCCATTTCATTTTCTGTTTTTTTCGGTCTTCTAAGGAAATTTAAATACAAATGTCTCGATATCATTTCTCCAATACTCACAAAGTGTCCATGTCTACAGGCCATATGAAGTGCAGTGTTTCCTGATCCATGTTCCTTGGATTTAATAAAATTCTTGTCTGCATTGAAAAACGCCACCTACAGCAAACAGGACCAAATAGGGACGAGAAATCTTAGAAGCTGTGTCGTTTCAATTTTAAATCTTATTATATGAGCATCAATTAGTGACGGGAAACCCCCTTTAATTGCAGCCTTGAGCAATTTGGATCTAAAAGAAAGCAGCACAAATTGAACTACAGTATAAAACAAACAATCTAAAATATATGTTTTACGCCAAAACTGTCTGCAAAAGATACCAGTTTGTTTAGTATAACCCATTCAAAACTGTGCAGATAAACATCCCAATCCCCGACTAACGGATCGGAAGATTAATGAGATTACTCGGCGCTAAAAACCAGTCAACGAAAACACAACTCTTCCCTTTTTAAATTTTTCGTTCGTATAAAATGGAAGATCAAACAAAGGAAATTTCGGGAACGCTTTCTTGAAATCTATATATACTTTCGCTGCATAAAAGATATTATTATACATTGTAGTCATCATCTGTCTTCTCATTGGCTAAAAGCTTACAGTTCATTCTGGGAAACAGCGCAACCTACAGATTATTCACTAATCTGTACCTACAGATTAGTGAATAATCTGTAGGTTGCGCGCGCAATGCATGATTTCCAAGAGTATTCTTAGCTACCTGACATATCTCCTTTTGTAGACTTTCGGTGGCCAGGAAAAAAGGCGTGTTGTTGTGATTATTAAACATATCGATATCAGCTCCGTTTTCCAGCAGGTATAACACAATATCCTAAAAATCAGGAGTCAGATTAATCGTTACTTGGGAGTTCATGAAAAGATTAATTTCCTAACTTGAAAACATGATAAATATTGAAAAGGCCCAAAATTATTTTGGGATCTTCAAAACCAGTCCTCAGAGAGAAACACAACCGCACATCTAAACTTTACGGTCGCTATTATAAGTTTTACATTGATAAAGTTTTGATTTTTGATATTGAATAATATATTAAGAGCAACTTAGGCCACACACCTACACTTGACAAATTACTTAGGTTTGACACAGGCTAACCCTGAGAAAAATGAGAGACGACTTCTAGTTTTGCCTTTGACTCAAATAAATGCATAAAGTTTGAATGCATTTCTAAGAATCGTCAAAATAAATTGCCAGAAAGGAAAACTAGACTCGACCCGCAAAATATAATATAAAGATAGCCTGTTCGCAAAATGAAACTCACGAGAAATAGTGCCAGACGGCCGACGCAAACATTTGTAGTTTTCCCAAACTAACAATCTGAGAAGCTTCGTAATTTTGGGCGCCGTTTCTTTCCTTTTTATTTTATGTTTTTTTTTCGGTCTTCTAAGGAAATTTAAATACAAATGTCTCGATATAATTTCTCCAATACTCACAAAGTGTCCATGTCTACAGGCCATATGAATTGCAGTGTTTCCTGATCCATGTTCCTTGGATTTAATAAAATTCTTGTCTGCATTGAAAAACGCCACCTACAGCAAATAGGACCAAATAGGGACGAGAAATCTTAGAAACTGTGTCGTTTCAATTTTAAACCTTATTATAAGAGCATCAATTAGTGAGAGGAAACCCCTTTTAATTGCAGCCTTGAGCAATTTGGATCTAAAAGAAAGCAGCACAACTTGAACTACAATATAAAACAAACAATCTAAAACATATGTTTTACGCCAAAACTGTCTTCAAAAGATACCAGTTTGTTTAGTATAACCCATTCAAAACTGTGCAAATAAACATCCCAATCCCCGACTAACGGATCGGAAGATTAATGAGATTACTCGGCGCTAAAAACCAGTCAACGAAAACACAACTCTTCCCTTTTTAAATTTTTCGTTCATATAAAATGGAAGATCAAACAACGGAAATTTCGGGAACGCTTTCTTGAAATCTATATATACTTTCGCTGCATAAAAGATAAAAACATGCCATCATGGTATGAGGCCCAGTAGGCGCAATATTCTTTTACTGTACCAAATAAGGAAGTGGAAAAGGCCATACAAAGGTAACCACAAGATTTAATTACAATAAAGCACATAAAGACTGCTGGGCTAATCGCAGGCTAATCGCGCGGATAGGACATTTTAGACGGTAGACTTTTGCTGACTATTAAACATCGAAGACATGACATGTCGGATTGGCCATAATGCGCGCGGGTCACGCACGTGGCGCGCGTCGGGGAGCTCCATTTCGTTGGCCGCAGGCCAGACTTGACCGAAACCGGAAACCGCGCATGAAAAGCGTCTGGCACCCACGGTACATCACGCCAAGTGTGCCTTCAAAAAAATCGAGAATTCTTAGCGTTTGGAAACAGGGGCTCAAAGAAACACAAACAAACAAATCAAAAACAAAATGCAGATGTCTTTTTGAGTGAATCATGTTACAGTTTTTTTAAAATAAAAATTCTGAATTAAGTATAAAAAAGGTACCCTGGGTTCCAGAGGTTATTTTTTTTATCATTTAATTCTTCGTCATAGGTTTTTCGAGAATGGACCTCTTGAGCCTTAGTAAACAGTGGTCTGAAAGAACATTTTTTCAAAATCAGAAAATGACCCCGGGTATGACAGCGGAACTTCAGACAATCAACACTGAAACCGGAAAAGCCTAAATTTTGAAAAAAAAAGCCAAAAACTTGAAATTATTTCTGCTTTCAATTGTGTAACAAAAGGAAGTCGAAACACCAACAAGCGTATCCAGTGTATGCGGGTGACGAATCCGCACTTTTCCGCAATTCGCTCTGTAATATTTTTGAATCCGTGACAGTAAATATCCACTGACGCGACGTCACAATATCGAGTCGCGTCAGTGGTATTTAGTGTCACGGATTCAAAAATAATTGCGGAAAATGTTGCGGATTCGTGCGAACAAGGCCTGAAAGGCCGTTTTACTGCAGAGTTATCAGTTTATCAATGTCACGTTTCATGCATCTAGTGGTACTTAAGGGTCCAAAAGGATAACTTGAACGCCACTAGACCTACGTATAATAACAAGTTGGGCGGAGCATGGCAGCGGGCACTAACATAAAACGAATGAAATGTGTTAGACACTACTCTTCAACACAACGATCTGTGTTTCGACGTCAGTTAACAGAAAGGTCAGAAAGAAATAGCAATGCTTATTCTGTCGATCGAAATGGATCCAAATCTGCTTTTACTGATAATGATGACCATCGTTCTGTACTTCACGAAGATTTGTTTGGCCGTAATAAGAACTGGTCAACAAAGAGTTTTTGTTGTACAGGCCCCTGAGCTGATCGACATCAGGAGGCAAGGCGCGATACAAAAGCTAGAGGACATTACAAAACAAGTGGAGAACCAAACCATTAATAGAAGAGCTGAGAATCGAGTACATCCGCAACCCCAGGAAAATAACGAATGAAATAATTAAGTAAGTATTACGATAGGTGTTGGAAATTTTAATGCGCTTTTCCAGTTTTTATTAATGAAATGTCGTATTTCTTATTTTATTATTTTTTCTGAAGGTGTCATCGTGTTAATCGAAGTAAATACTTCTTCAAATTTTTAAAAATCTTTAAAGTAAGCCTTAGTTAAGAGTTTAACTATTAACAACTTAATCAGAATCTTTTTTTAATACATCAGTTTATACTGCACTCTATTTGAGAAATGTATTGAGTTAAGATCACTGTTTAGCCCAGATAAAGAGAGCAAAATGGGCTCAGTGACAATGCGTTAACGTTTTCTTCGTTTAGGTTATAGACATGATGTTTTTGAAGAGCAAAACGTTGCCTGCTAATTTACGGGTGAAATTTCCAAATCGACGAGCGCGCTGTACAATAACATGCGCCTCATTACTTCCTTCCATTTGCCTTCAAAGGAAATAAATGCTTGATCGTCACTAAAAATGTTTTAATTTTTTTAGGACATCCTCCGACGACTGGTTCAGTTGCAAACATTTTGTCTTTTGACTTCCTTGTTCGAAAATCAGTTTGTGATATTTTGTGGATATCTCGGAAAAAAGATCCGTATTGGTCAATGCAGTTACGCAAGCTTACTTTTCACGCTACAATATAGTGGACGTCTACTGACCTACTTATCTGACTGCCTTGCTGAGAAGAGAGCACAAATCACGACAGCTTTTTTGAGTACGGCCGCATCCTTTTAAGTTGAAAGGGCTGCATATTAGTTACGACGAGTGTAAATTATATATTAATTAGTGTCTAGACCACAGAGAACTCGTGTGAAAAAACTTAAATGTTTTAAAAGTTTATTTGACGATGAGTGCTGAGAGGTGATAAACTCTACAAATCCTGTTTAACTTTATCCTTTAATATGTCTTGGCACTACGAAATTTTGTATTGTCAAGTGTCTCTACTCTTATAAACACTGCCCAAGAATACAAAAAGTCACTTCCGGTTCAACAAGACGTCAGTTGCTGTGGTTATATAGGGTTATTTTCAACACGTTGTTGACTAGTGTGATAATCTTATGTACATGAAGCGTGTACTATCACGCACATTTTTCCACATCTGTCATGTACGGTTTTTAAACGTATATCGGGTAGTGTGGTGGTTGCTTTGTATTTCTGTTCAAAAGTGATGGGATAATCTCAATCAGATCAAAAGCAAAAACTTATAAGCTGCTGAATTTCAACCGAGTGAACCATATCCTGCTTCATTTGCTCGACGTTGATTTATTCTACTAAAGGGTTCAACTTAGCTTTGCAAAGCAGAAAAAAACACCAATTTTATCTAATCAGAACTTTTGAGCCGAAGAATGTTAACGTTTTATGTTCTAACATTTGAATTAAATTAAATAAAAAACGAGAAAAGGAGATCAGAACGAACACTCGGTATATATTTATATATTTTATAGTGTAACCACTGCTCGCCTCGACTGACTAACTGCTAACTACTAGCAGTCGGGATATTGCTTGTAAAATTTGAAATAGTCAATAAACAGTTGAAACAGTCTTACAAGAGAATAGTGCCTTTATCTCATGGCATTTTAAGTGAGGCAAAACCTAAAGTAATACTTAGAGGATCACGTTATAAACGAAATTCACTAAATTGCCTCAGCGTAAATGACTTTATGTCTTTAGGGACGTACCATTAAAAACATTATGAAGAAGGGGTGGGGAATTTTCGAGCGGCAGGATTTTTTTTTCGTTCGCAAATTCCTTGTACGAATTTTTTTTTAGGCCGTAGCATGGATATTTTTTACGGTTAATTGGCGTGCATGAATTTTTTTCATTTAATTTTCCCTTGCGCGAATATTTTTTTGGTACTTCGCCTGCCCCCCCCCCCCCCTCCCTATAAAGTTTTCTAATGGTCCATTCCTTGAGACACTTGATGAATAACAACGTACAATGAGTGCTTGCAAAAAAGATGCCCTTCAATGCCCTTCCTGAATAATTTTTGAAGCATATCATGTAGTGGTCACAATAAAGTAGAAGTACGTAATGATCACTGAAGAAAGACAGTGTGTATACGTGTACAAAAACTCTTGCCTTTTTCTTTCAACGACTTTTAATCTTTTCATTTTCTGTTGTTGACGAGTAATGATGGGTGAAAGCCCCGATCAGTCAAAACGACTTGATTGTTACTGCAGCACGTTGGCGGAAAACCTACATCCAGCTCTTACACAGACTCAGTCTCTACTTCTCAACATTTGAAAAACGTTTCTTATAGGACTTACGACTTAGCGCATTGCAGAAATCATAGAAAGTTCAAAGTCCCTCAACTAGCCTGTGCCAGGCTCTCAGATAGTATAGTGGGAACGTATTAAAAACGACCCCTGTCTCTCCCCAGCCCCGCGCGTTTTTCGCATTTCTTATTACTGAACGACTTTCCACCACCATCTCGGAGCCTGGAACAGGCTACCCTCAACTGGCTAAACATCATAACGATACACGGCCTTTGTCGATTCTTCTTAGTGACCGTTCATTCACCGCCGCGCAAACAAAACACGGAACATATCGACTTGCGGTTAACCGCAATTCTGACCGCAATGGCCGTTGTGTCTTTTGCGGTCGAAATTGCGGTTAAACGCCAAAGGGCCTTCTGAAGATAATCCGCGTGCGAGCACGCACTGTGTATACGTGTACAAAAAATCTTGCCTTTTTCTTTCAATGATTCATAGAAAGCTCAGTCATTTAACTGGCTAAAAATCATAATGATACACGCCCTTCCTCGGTTCTTCTTTTTGACCGTTCATTTACCGCTGCACAACCAAAACACGGAACACATTCTACTTGTGGTTAACCGCAATACCGACCGCCGGAATTGCGGTTAACCGCAAAAAAGCCTTCTGATAATCCATGTGCGAGCATATTTTTATTTCACACGCAATAAAAATCAATGACAAGCTATAAATATCAAAACTAGTGATTGACTAACAATAAATTAGCACTAGGATTTGCAATTTTATGTCTGTTATAAACGCAACTATCTAGTTTTACGTACGCAAGGTGATTTATTTACTAGATACAATATAATAAGAAGAAATAAGTCATAAAGCTC